CATGGTATGGCACTGGACAATGTAGCATGGTATGGCGTTGCGCGTTGCCCAGCATCGCATCTCGTGGAATTTCATAGCAAGGCATGGGATCGCATGATAGCGACACAAACAGCATGGAATTGCATGCAAACGTTGTATGAACCGTGCGGCCAGAAGATCATGCTGGTGGACCGACAATGTTGAGATTAGGTGGGTGATGCACCAGAAGCCACAGTGTGAATGACCGGAAACGCGGAAATAAGGGCCAACGTTGCAACAGTAGCACCATTCGGAAGGACCGAAGACGCGAAAATGAGATTAGCGCTACGTCAGAAAAAGAACGATTCGAAGGATCAGAAGCGCAGAAATGAGGACGGCGCTGCGGCGAGCACAGGACCGTAAATGATCGGATTGGAACAACGCATGAGAAGTACAAGTTTTGGAATCTTGCGTGTGGAAACACTAGGAGGGGAGGGCAGAACACCTTCCGGACAGACTCAGGGGAGAGAGGAGTGTAGGAGGAGAGTAGTATTCATAATGTGTAGTTGTGGCAAGGGGTAAAGAGAGAGAGAGAGAGGAAACAAGAGAAATAGAGAGAGAGAGAGAGAACAAAAAGAGAGAGAGAAAGAGAGAGAGGAGAGAGAGGAGAGAGAGGAGAGAGACAAGCTAGGCGCACGCTCGCGCCATGTCTGACATCCTGCCCCGCCCACCCATCCCTTCCCATTGAGTTGCTATTTCTCTGTCCGCCGACGGTGTGTCAAAGCGGACGCAGAACTCCAAAGAGGACCCCTACCAATCTGCATAACCAGGGGAAAAGAGGAAGCTGCGTACATTGTAGGAGGAGGTGGCGGATGAACAGAATGATTAGGAGGAGGGAAGGAGTAGGAAAAGGAGGAGGAAAAGGAGGAGGAGGAGGAGGAAGAGGAGGAGGAGGCAGGAGGAGAAGGAGTTGGAGAGGAGGAGGGAGGAGGAGAAGGACGAACAGCAGCAGCAGGAGCTGGAGTGAAAGAAGCGGGAGAGTACGAGCATCAGAGGAAGGCGGAGGAGCGGAAAGGGAGAGGGGCGAGAAAGATGAAAAGGGACGCGGATCCAGAGAAGTGGCCTGCGCTGGGGCGAGAGCGCCGTGCGGAACGACGTGTGCAGAGCGCCGATCCGAAAATGAGGCCCACGCTGCAGCGGGATCATCTTGAAACACCGAAAACAGCCAGCTTGTAAAACAAAACTAAGAACACATAACCCTGAAGTGCGATTCTCGGTCCCCCCTTCGTTCGGTAGATCTATATCACGATCCGCCCCGAAAAGCGGCATTCCGCACCCAGAACCCTCACTGCGGCATCCCACCATGCTTTGCCCATCGGTGCGGGTTTTCGTACCCCCCCCCCTCCCCCCCCCCACCCGTGGAGTAGATCGTGGCTGTTTTTGGCGCCTGTTTCGAGCAGATGGAGCCCCCCCCATCATGGACACAATGTTGCAAACAGTCGCATTAAGCAGAGGTCCGGAGCCAAACCCCCTCCCCTCCGCCCAGTGTCGAAACGCCGAATAAGAAAACGCTCACAACAGGATCCCCGAAGGAGTCCTAGAGGGATTGCTGCGGAACGCCTGTGGATTTTGGGGACTTTAGAAATTCATGGAGGATTGCGAGATGATTCCGAATGGATTCCTCAGGATTCCTGCGGATGCCTGAAAGATGCTTGAAGAATCTTGAGAATCCGCTGCTCCTCCCAGAGTCAAGTAATAAGGGTGCTAACGCTGTCGTTCGGCGGGTTCTCCCTCGAAAAAATTGATGTGTGTTCTTGGTGCTACGGCTAACGGGGGGATCGGTAGTGCGAGATCAAGGTTGCGTTTTGCATCTTGTGTGTGGAAGAGTACGCGGCTAATGCCGACTACCTGCTGGAGAGAGGCAATGGAGACGGGAGACTAGCATGCACAAGGTGACATTGTGGAGAGAGAGAGAGAGAAGAGAGAGAGAGAGAGAGCGAGAAAAAGGGAGAGAGAGAGAGAGAGAACAAAAAAAACAGAGAGGGAGAGAGAGAGAGAGAAACAAAAAAAAGAAACATAGAGAAAACCAGACAGACAGACACAGAGACGGAGACAGAGGCAGAGGCAGAGGCAGAGACAGAGGTAAAGGTAGAGAAGGGGGAGGCAGAGGGTGACGGAGAGGGAGGGGAAGAGGGGAGTGAATGGAGGAAGGGGAGGCGAGGAGGAGGGGGATGAAGAACGACGAGGGGGGGGACGGGGAGGATAGACAAGCGCAGCAGGCACGGGAGGGAAGCGGAGGAGAGCGGAAGATTGAGATGATAGGCAGGTTGGAAGGTTGAAGGACGACGAGGCGCACAGAAGTAGGAGAGGGAATGGGAGGAGGAGGGGGTGGGAGGGGCAAGAAGAGGAGGGAAGAGTAGGAGTAGACAGTAGACAGGGTGGCGTTTCGCATCCCCCTTCTTGTTTTTACACCCGCGCGTCGTCGTCGTCGTCGTCGTCGTCGTCGTCGTCGTCGTCAGTTTGCTTCTCCTTCATCGCTTCGTCCTCCACTTCCTTAACCCTCCCGGCTGAGGAGCGGAAGGGAGGACCAAAGAGGGATACGCTCTTCCGTGACGTGAGGTAAGGTGTGTGTGTGTTTGTGTTTGTGTTTGTGCGTGTGCGTATGTTTGTGCGTGTGCGTAAGTATGTGCTTGTGCGTTTGC